TAATGCCATAACAGGAGCAAGTGTTTAACCATTCAAAAACACCCAGTTTCTTACATCAGAAACAACCCCTTGTGACAGCAATTGCCTAATGTGACCAATCTCTGTCTTCTTTCTCTAGTGAAAGGTGATTAAAAGGGTAATAGCAAACTAACTCTGTGAACATCTGGAATTCAACAATAGACTGAGCCAGATCTGACACTGTTTCAGATCTAAAGGTAGAAGAAAAATACTACAGGTCACACTAACACATAGATTACTTATAACTTCTAGTCATATCAACAGTACTTCACAGTTTTGATCACATATTCTCTCTGAGGTTATCATAAGTTGGGGTCAACATAACATGGGGATGTAAAAAAATTTTTTCCTTTGGACCAAAAGACTTAACTTTTTATTTCTATCCAGTCACCATTCAGACCACAGTAGCAAAACAGAAGTAAAGAGAGTGAATTCTATGTCTTGCTGCCACAGATATAGAGATATATATGCCTATAGTAATAGAAATACACATACCATAGTATATCTCTCTAATTCTATAGACCTTGACGTATGTTCCACTTTCAAAGTTTCTAAGTCCTTGCCTAATTAGAGGTCAAATAAATGATTATCCACAAAATAATCTGAAAATGTGGAAAGATTTATTTCACAATATGTATGGTTTACATTAATTCAAGACATTTGTCTTGCTTTGTAATAGTTTCATAAAATGTAATTTTAAGTTTATGCTTTATCATATTTTGAAATGTAAAACCATTTTACCATTCAGTTATAATCATCTTCTACCTTCTGAGAATATCAATAATGCTAAAAAGCAAGTTAGATTATGGTTACAAAAATAGTATATATCTGTGAAAAATTTACGAGATAAAAAAATCAATGAAAATACATAACAAATAAACAAACAATCCTGTAGTACTATGATTTGTTTTCTCATGGGGTTTGTGATGCTTCCCTATCAACATGTATTCAGCAATAATGGGCATTTCAGGAAGAGCCCTGTGTGACATCTGAGCTGGAACATTTTCTTATTTTTATTATGTGTGTGTGTGTGTATATATATGTATTTACACATATATATACATATATATATTTTAAATACCTTTAACTTTTTAAATTTTCATTATTTATTTTTTTATTTTAGTCTTCACCCGAGAATATTTTTTCATCCATCTTCAGATAGAGTGGGAGGGAGGGAGACAGAGAGAGAGAGAGAAACATTGATGTGAGAGAGACATATCGATAGGTTGCCTCCCACACAACCCCGACCAGGGCTGTGACTGAACCACAACCGAGGTACGTGCCCCGGACTGTAATCGAACCCGTGACTCGTTGGTCTGCGGGTCAACACTCCAACCACTGAGCCAAACTGACCAGGGAACCACATACTTATTTTTAAAAATATATGTTTTATTGGTTTCAGAAAGAGAAAGAGAGAGGGAGAGAGAAAGAGAAACTGATGTGAGAGGCAAATATCTATCGGTTTCCTCTTGTAAGCGACCTAAAGAGGATCAAAGTCCCTACCCAGGTATGTCCCTGACCAGGAATGAAACCAGCAACCTTTTGGTACAAGTGACAATGCCCAACCAACTGAGCAACACCAGCCAGAGCTATTTTTTATAAAAATAAAAAATCATTTTTTATTTTTCAATTACAGTTGGCAAACAATAATATATTAGGTTCAGTGATTAGACATTATATAACTTAAGTGATCATCCCAATAAATCTTGCACCCTCTGACACCCTACATAGTTATTAGAATATTATGGGCTATATTCCCTATGATGTATTTAATATGACTATTGTGTAACTACCAATTTGTACTTCTTAATCCCTTCACCTTTTTCATCCATCCCCAACTCCCTCCCATCCAGCAACTGTCAAATGTTCTCTTTATCTATGAGTGTTTCTGTTGTACTTGTTCATTCATTTTGTTTTTTAGATTCCATTGTTGATAGATATATATTTATTGACATTTTATTATTTACATTTTTAATACTTTTTCCTCTTTCTTTTTAAGGAAGATCCTTTTTACATTTTATATAATACTGGTTTGGTGGTGATAAACTCTTTTAGCTTTTTTCTTGTCTGGGAAGCTCTTTATATGTCCTTCGATGAGAAATGTAAATTAAATTTGATATCCTGTACACCCACCAGGTCTAAAATGAAAAAGACTTCCAGTATCAAATGTTCGCAAGGATGTGGAGTAACTGAAGCTCTGATTCACTGGTAGTGAGGATGTGATTTATAAAAACTACTTTAGGAAAGTGGCCATATTTATTGAAGCTGAGTGTACTCATCCTAACCTCTGACCCAGAATTTAACTCCTGGGTATAATCTCAACAGAAATGAGTACATGTCTTCACCTAGGGTCATGCCTGAGAATGTTCATGGCAGCTTTCTTCATGCTAGCCAAAAATAAAACTCAATCTGTCAGTAGTAGAATGGATAAATACATTCTGGACTATTTACACAATAGAATACTGGATCAAAGTGAGATAAATAAATTAAACTATACAAATGGACTGAACCCCCAGCTTCAGTCAAGCCTTCGATGACTGCAGCCTTAGCCAATATCTTGAGAACCTCATGAGAGACCCAGAGCCAGAAGTGCCCAAGCCACTCCTAAATTCTTCACTCACAGAAATTGTGGGGATGTTTATTGTTTTAAGCCACTAATTTCATGAGATCTGTTACACAACATCAGATAATCAATACACTGTGTGATAAAGGTTTTCATCTAGATAGACTTACCCTCTGAGCTGGTATATTGATAAATGATGCCCTTGTAATGGTTGGGGACATGGGTCTCAGGCTCCAAGTCTTCCTTTCTCCCATAATATTTGCCATGTCAACAACCTATAGATATTCAAGGCCCCATAATTCCTTGACCTCCTGTCATGTAAAGAGGACAAATGTGCAAATATAAAGTAGAATTTTGTTTTGGGGGAAAACTTACAAGCAGAACAATAACAGAGTTTACTCAATCTCCAAACTTTCAGAGAGGGGATTAGGCCAGACCTAGTTGGACTGAGCCCGTGGCTAGAGCTCCTGTAGAGGGAGCCTGCCTGGAATGCATCTCGCTCATAAGGATGGTGAGGCAGGGACCATCTGTACCTCCAACACGGAGCTGCTTGAGGAAAGGAATGATCTCACTAGAAAGGGGGCTCACTGTTGGATGGACCCTGCTGAGCTAGCTGTCTGCTGAGCTACTGAAAGGGGACAGGAAGTGAGTCTCCAGGACTATCCCATTTGCTTCTCCTCACCTCCCGGATTCCCAGCACGTCACTGATCCCCATTGCCAGGCTGTGCTTTAAACACAGTAAATATTTGCTGGCTCACTGGTCAACATAGAGAAAAACACCTGTTTTTCATTCTCAGTAAGAAACTCAGGAGGTAACTTGGGCAGACACCAAGAGAACAGCATCAGCAAACTAATAAACCAGACAGGACTGGAGGCCCGTCCACGCTGCCTGGAACCCTACCTAACCATTTTAGATAAAAATCCTAAATTGTCCCCAGTTGTTTGTCCTTCATCCTTATTGCAAATCTCATCCCCATCAGACAAATCCTTGGCATGTAGCTTCTGTACCTTGTTTGCATGCAGCGTTGAGAGGTCTGTACACATCCCTCGGCCAAAGCGGCCGCCTCCCCCAGAGAAGCCCTCCTAGGAAACCACAGGGAAATACGAACTCTGCGTCCCCCTGCCCTCTCCTGCCACAAAGGCCCGCGGCTCCACTGGGGCTCTGTGCTGCTGTCCTGCGTGGTGGGCACCATTCTTCTCAGATTGCTAAGCCGCCAGCTTTTATTTGTGGCCATTGAGGCCGATTATTAAATCTTGTTCATCCAGAAGTTCTTTACTCACTCAGGCATTTAAGTCTCACTGGCTACTCCATGTCACTTAGTGATGACTCTTGGCAGGAGTGGAGGAACCTGCGCGTTATCACTTGGAATCACGCAGCCACAGGTCTGTGTTGGACGTGGAGGGAAGTGGGTAGGTTTGGTGCTGGGCTGAGCTGGAGGGAGCCGAGCAGCACACACCTGACCCTAGTGGGGTCCCCAGAGGCTGAGGCAGGACACGTGCATGGAGAAGTGGCCCCACCAATGTTTTCTGAAATGGAGGCCTGAGGAGGGAAGTCTTGGGCAATTTTTGCTCTCATACATTCTTCTTTACCCTCTCTCTCCAGCAACTCCTGCCAGCTATGCAACAGTTGGGAGTTTGTTTAATTAAAAGGGGAAATCAAAAACCTGCTGTGAATTTTCCACCAGCTTGTAAGGGCAGAGAACCCGCTATACCAAGACAGGGCACACATTTGTGCATGAGCTTAAGAGCTGGGGGGAAAGACAGGTCCCACCATCAAGATAGGCTCACGGATCCAAATATCCTGACAATCCCCAAGACCTGATGAGAAGGGCCAGAAGTGAATGATCCTCTACGGACAGGAGATCAAGTACGTTGTAAATAACTGGTCAGCGGTGAGTGGGGGACAGAGCTCCAGAATAAATTATCTGACTTAATAACCCACACCCAGTTCTCAGGGGCTGACTGTACTGGGCAAAGAGGGAGAAGCCCTCTGCACCCTTGTTGGACCACACCGCTGCTGCAGGAAGTAACGTCCTCCCCAGGGACCCCAGCTTCAGCCCTGCTTTTCTTGCCTATGGCCCTTGCTATTTGCGTAGAAATAGTTAACTATTTACACTCTAATTTTTTACTTCATGGCTAGAGTTGGTTATGAATTGATAAACACTTCAAATATGTAATATATTAGCAATGTATTAAGGCCAGGGATGGGTTTACTCAGTGGCAGTTTCATGTGTCACTTTCCTCTCCTGTCTCATCTGCAGCAGAGTCCCATGTCTCATTCAAGGCTGATGAGGTGGTGGCTTCACTCTGCTCCGTGGGGTGAGAAGTAGAAGGTCAAGGCTTTTACTCTTGAAAGGAACAATTAAACTATTCATTATTTCCTCATTTTTGACACGAATTCTGAATTGTTCACAATCATTTACACTTCGGTGGCTATCTTAGTCTCATCAGAGTCCTGTGGCTTCTGCTTCGCTTTCATGCTTGAGGTGGAGACGGCCTCTCCTGTCCCTGCAGCAGCGGCCAATGTGGCAATCCTGACTGAAGGGGGAGGGGGATCACTCTGCTTCCTGGGGTGAGAAGTAGAAGATCAAGGCTTTTACTCTCGAAAGGAACAATTAAACTATTCATCATTTCCTCATTTAATACAAGAACTCTAAATTGTTCACAATCATTTACATTTCGGTGACTATCTTAGTTTCATCAGAGTCCCGTGGCTTCTGCTTCATTTTCAAGCTGAAGGAGGAGACAGCCTCTCCTGTCCCTGCAGCAGTGTCCAATGTATCATCAATCCTGACCGATGAGGGGGAGGCTTCACTCCGCTCCCTGGGGGAAGAAGGAGAGGAAGAGCAAGGCTTTTACTCTTGAAAGGGACAATTAAACTATTCATTATGTCCTTATTTTAGACAAGAATTCTAAATTGTTCACAATCATTTACATTTTGATGAATATCTCAGTCTCATCAGGGTCCTGTGGCTTCTGCTTCTTTTTCATGCCTAAGCAGGTGGTGAGAGGTCCATATATATCCCTCAGCCAAAGTGGCCGCCTTCTCCAGAAACCGCCCTCCTAGAAAACAGACGGGAAAACATGAACTCTGCGTTTGCCCCGCTTTGTCCCGCCACAGTCCTTTATCCTCCTCGAATTTACCTCCATCTGTTCCAGTGAGCCTTCCTTACTCCCCCTGGGAGGAAAATGTATACCGACAATTAGTGATTTGTGCTATTTTCTGTGTCTCTCACATGCATAGCTCTGGCTTATTAGGACTCATGGGAAGCTGGGTCCATACTCACCAGCAAAATCATCACACACCTGGAACCTTGAAAATGATTCCTTGCAGGTTTGCACTTTCAGAAGTTCTCTGTGTCTGTTTAAGATGGCCCCACAGTGCCCTCGCCGGTTTGGCTCAGCAGTTGGAGCATCAGCCCACGAACGGATGAGTCGTGGGTTTGATTCTGGTTATGGGCACATACCTCAGTTGCAGTTCAGAAGCAACTGGTTGATGTGGTTCTATCACACTGATGTTTCTCTCTGTCTCTCTCTCTTTCCTCCCTCCCACTTTATCTGATGATAAATATAAAAATATCCTTGGGTGAGGAATAAAAATAAGTAAATAAAATGGTCCCACAGTGTCTCTGGGAGACGGTTGCAGGTGGTTTGGCATGGGGCATAGGCAGGATTTTCACCCCACTTACTTTCTTGGCCCTTGGACAAGTGCCCATGGGCAGTGAGAAGAAAATGCACAAGCACCTGGGCAGAAACAGTGTGCTCTCTGCAGACACATTCCACAGGGGTCCCCTTTGGACTTGGTCTCCTATATACCATGTGCGGGGAGGGGGTGGAGCTTTTATTCTCCCAGCTGAATTATCTTGTAAGTTATTCACACCTACTAAATGCCTGAGTCCACCTAACAAAGATATCCCTTGCTGACTTTCATACTCTAGGCTGCCGGTGATGAGGGAGGGAGTTGTGAAATCAGTTGAAAGGTCATAACCGACACTAAAGTACAAAATATTCTTTTTGAATATAAACTAGAATAGAAAAAGCCAGAGTGAATAACAGTTTTGTTTCAGAAACAACTACTGTCTATGTGGTGTGTGTATTGAGTGGTGACATATCACGTAGCTCTCAGCCCAGGCACAGTATCAGCAACGAAGTCCCGGAGGGAGAGGACCATCTTCTTTCTGACACTCATGAGCAGCGGGACCATGGGGCAAGATACCTTCCCTTCCCCCTCTCCACCTCCTTTTTTATTAAAGAGACAAACTACTGTCTAAGGTCTCTCTCAGGTGAAATTCTATGAGGTTTGGATAAAGGGAAGAGAGAGAGTAGGGGCCTGAATGCCAGTAGGATGAGAAAGGAAGGTTTCCTGCTACTTTACAGGAAGGACTCACATGTTCTACCTTCCATCAGCCTTGAAGGAGACTAGCGCCCTTACCCTGAGACCATGTGGCCTTCCCTGCCCTTCCCAGAGCCTCCACCACCAGCAGGAACAGGTACCACCAACACTCTCCCTCTGCACCGTTTCCTTAAAGGACTAGTGACAGCAGACGCATGTGTGCCAGTCCCATTGTCTCAGCTTTGCCCAGGGAGCTCATTTTGCAAAATCCAGGCAAAGCATCAGGATGAAGAAGTAGTCCTTTCAAAACGAGGAGACTGAAATAGATGAGTTCTAAGTTCTCCTCTAGTTCTTTTTTCACCCCCACTTTTATTAGCACTTGTTTTCTAATGCATTTACTCCTGGGCCATGCGTTTTCATTTCCCCAGTTTCTCCTGGGGTATCTTTTCCTTCCGTGCAACCCCCTCTCTGGTTTAGGAACAATCGGCTCTTTTTCAGGAGGATCATCTCAAAGTGGCAGGGAGAGCTCGTGTGGGGGTCAGTCCACCATGAGCGCTGTCAGTTCTGCGCTGCATGTTGGGAGCTTTGTTCACCTGCATGTGCTCAATGACACAGAATCTATGTCTAAACCCTGACGCTCTGCATTACTTTCTGCATGTGCAGCAAAATCCAGCGCTCTTTTTAGGCCGCTCACCCTGCGCCCAGCCTTACCCTTTGGCCTGGGCACACCTACCCACTCCACCATTGTAATGACGGAAAGGCACACATTGCTTCTGCAAAGTGACATCTTTCAGATGCTTAGTGGTTTTTCGGATATGCACACCCTTGATGGCCTGGGCAGTTTCACGAACGTTCGTAAGGTGACCACAAAGGTTAAAATATCTTGATATTCATGATTTTTGTGGGTTTTCTGGGTCAAGTGACTAGCGAACCATATTGAGAGGTCACCTCAGGCTATTTACAGGAAGAGGAAGTTCCTCTAGTTCTAAAATTTAACTTGAAAAATTGCCAGACTCATATTTACCTTGAGCTTCTTCCTTTATCTTGCTTGGATGGTGTTCTGTGACATATCTGTTTTGGAGGAAAACAACACCGTTGGTTATTCATCACAGTGACCACTATCTCTAAACCCTTTTTTGTTTCATTCTAAGTGAGATGGTAATTTTTTATGGGGACGGGAATTCTGAAGAGTCTGAGACAGGATCGTGTACGTAGCTGGCAATTGGGTGTTTTAGATAACATTCAGCACATAAGTCCTAATAAAAACTGAGTTCAGCTGTTGGTTTTGCCACTGGGACCTTAAGTTGATCTCCTTCATTTATGGAAGAGGGTGGTACTATTGTCCTCACAGGACTGTGGGGATTGAATCAGACGGTATATGGAAAACTCTTCATCCTATGATTGGCATAAACCAGTGCTAAGTTTGTTAATGGGTCACAACAAGGTGGTCAAAGCTATCAAAGGGTTCTGTCTGTGGTATCAGCCTCAGAAAGCACTTTCCCACCATCAAATTATAAAAATATTGCTTCTATTTTCTTCTAGTACTTTTACAGGTTCTTTTTTTTTTACATTTATATAAAAAAATTTTTTTTTCAATCCTCACCCGAGGATATTTTTCTAATTATCTTCAGATAGAGAGGGAAGGAAAGAGAGAAAAACATCGACATGAGAGAGACACATCTACTGGTTGCCTCCTGCACAACCCTGACCAGGGCCAGGGACAAACCACAACCGAGGTACGGGTCCTTAACTGCAATCAAACCCACGACTCAGTGGTTTGCGGGCTGATGTTCAAACCACTGAGCAAAACCGGCCAGGGCATATACAAATGTTTTTTTAAGGTGAGAGAGATCTGCTGTTATTGCCCCCTCAAATAGTTAGGTAGCTTTTCTATTACCATTTATTCATTTTCTCCCACAGATTACAATATTAAAAGGTGACATTTCAAAAGTTTTAGAACATGGATCTAAAGACATTTGGTCCTTACACATCTCAGCTCTGCTCCATGATGTGTTGACCTTGGTATTGCTTTCTTGGGGAGTCACCTGTTAAAAAGCTGTTTACCATACATTTAAGTTCCCAGGGGTGGGGAATGCCTCCCTATTGCCTTGAAAAAATGGTGACAAATCTCACAGAAGGAGTGGGGCTGGAGGACTCAGGGAAGGCTTCATGAGGAAGATGAGCTTGAGCTGGCTTTTGAGGGATTCACTGGACTTCCATAGGCAGAGCAAAATAAGGGAATTTTAGATGGGCAAAGGCACACACAGCAGGGGGATGGACATTCTGAGCTAGCCTGTGGGAGGGGCTGCCCTGGTGGATGGAGGGCTGCACGGCTGCCGGAAAGGTAAATCAGGTTGGATTAGTGGGGTAGAGTCAAGATGGTCAGCTTATTAAATCACTCTTTTTTTATTTGTTTGTTTTTTATCTTCACCCAAGGACATTTTTCCATTTTTTGTTCAGATAGAGTGGGAGGGAGAGAGAGGAAGAGAGAGAGAGAGAAACATCAATGTGAAAGGGACACATCGAGTGGCTGCCACCCACACAACCCAACCAGGGCTGGGACAAACTGTAACCGAGGTATGTGCCCTTAACGGGACCCGAACCCAAGTCTCTCTGGACCACAGGCCAACACTCTAACCGCTGAGCCAAGCCAGCCAGGGCTTAAATCACTCTTTTAATGTTAGCACCTGCAGGTAAACCATTATGTAAATGAACAAAAGGGACACAGGCAAGCTCCAGGGACAGGTGACTAGAACATGACCTGCTGTAGCGGAGCCTGACGCAGGGGTTAGGTTGCAGTGTTTTAACTGGACCTATTTACACCATGCCTTACACATGGAGAAGGAAGATATGTAAATGTGATGAATTGACAAGATCACACTTCTACCTTTTAGCCATGTCCTTTCTGCCAGGGTGACATATATAGCTCCACGAGGGTGGAGGAGATTCTACATCTCTCCTCATTTCAGCCAACAAGGAAAGACATCAGTGATAGAAAGAGGGTAATTGGTGAGTGCATCAAATCGACATTGTTCATTTTGAGTTGAAGAAATGTTGCTAACATGTCAATTCTGGCCTATTAAACTTAAGTTTTAAAATACTCTAGTGGCTTGTTATTTCTATTTCAATTCCACAAGATCTCTGGGTGCAGGCTTCCTTTAAAAATCTTTGGAATATAATTTATAATAAAAGAACAAAGCAGCCTGGCTTGTGTGGCTCAGTGGAACGAGTATCATCCCATGGACTGAGAGGTCCCCGTTCGATTCTCCGTCAGGGCACATGCCCAGGTTGTGGGCTATATCCCCAGTGGGGGGCATGCAGAGGGCAGCCGGTGGATGTTTCTCTCTCACATGGATGTTTCTATCTCTCCCTTCTCTCTCTAAAAAATCAATAAAAACATCTTAAAAAAGAACAAAGCATATCTCAGTGCTCGTGACTAAAGAGGAATATCAAGTAGGAGTAGGTGGGAGAGTGGTTTTGATTTTCTGTTTGTGGGTCCTGAGTTTATTCTGAAGATAGAATATATTTTAGAAACCTGAATTAACTGTTGTCTTACCGCAATGAGACAGAAAATTACAATAAAAAATGTTGCTACTACAATGACAGGTACTGCCATGATGAATTTGTTGTTCTTCTCATATCCTCGCAATTGTTTTGTGAGCTAAAACAAAACAAAGAACATTAAAACAAAACAAAGATATGCAAAGGATAAAAACTAACTATTCTTAAGCCTATTCTAAAGAATAGCTAACTATTCTTAACGACTACTCTAAAATCCCACTCTTTCGAGTGGCTCTTAAAGAACACACCCAATCTAATGCTTTATGTAATCAGATCATTAGCATTTTCTTGTACAATTTCTTTATCTTGTGTGTTAGACCCCCTTCTCGTCTATCCCAGGAACAGCGGCACCATTCTCTAAATGGGCAAAGAGGGAGATCACTGTCTGAGCCAAAGTCACATGGTCAAGACAAGGTTCAGACTAGGCGCCCTGGTCTTCCTGCCTGGGTGCTTTCATGGCATGTCCTAAACCGCCTAAAAGTCCAGGTCCCGTGTTTGAGGAGCTGTCCTCACCTCATCGGGCTGCTCCTCCTCTTGCTCACCCAGGTCTTGCATCCTCGCATTCAGTTGTTCTGAATCCCACTGTGCTTTAGAAATCTTTCCTTCTTGTTGCTCACTGAGCATCTTCATCAGGAGGCCTGTTCCAGAAAATAGTTTCCTCAATTTATTTTTGTAATTTAAATTGTAAAATTCAGGTTTAAGAGGAGGGTTGCCTCTGTTGTTTTACAAATGACTGAGGGGCATATCTGCAGCATATGCATTTGAAAAAAAAGGAGTATAATGAATGGTAATAACACTCATTCTATGTCTTCTAGATTCCCCTCTAAGAAATAGGGCGATATGTATTTTAGTGCACTAATAACATCACTTTCATCAATAAAGTCTAGCTGCTCACCCATTAATGATGATGAACTATTATAATTTTTCACTAAATATGCCTTCTCTGGCTCGACAGTCAGCTCAGTGCTGTTCTTCTTCCGGCGACTTATGGCCTTCATAAACGGTCCTTCTATAAATAGTTCTTCATCTGTCAAAAAGAAGAGACCACTTTTTTTTTTATCCTCACCCGAGGACACGTTTGCATTTATCTTCAGACAGAGCGGGAGGGAGAGAAGGAGGAAGAGAGAGAGAGAGAAACATCGATGAGAGAGACACACATGGACTGGCCGCCACCCACATGACCCCAACTGGGGCCGGGATGAACTGCAACGGAGGTATGTGCCCCCAACAGGAACCGAACCTGTGACTCTCTGGTCCTTGGGCCGATGCTCCAACTGCTGAGCCAAACTGGCCAGGGCAAAAAGACCACTTTTGATATTGAAAAACTCTTGGGAGACCTTTTTGTCGGTCCATAGCCATACATCCCAGTCAAAAAAATTGGGAATCAGAATATATTTGAGCACCATTTAGAGAGGAGAAAAATAAACCCCAACTTAAACCTATGATTTTCAACACAACAAAAGAAGAAAAAGAATCTTTTTCAAAAGTAGTTATTTACTCAGAACATTCTATAGCATGAAATACAGTAACTATATTTAAGATTATTCCATTAGGATTATCCCCAAGGGCCCATTGCCGGTCACTGAAGACAAGCCAAGGCTGGAAGACCCCACTCAGTTAGACTCTGCAGCTCTCCTGTGACTCCTCACACTCAGGTGCCCACCCTGTCCTGCCTCAGATGCAGAGGGAGCCTGCGGCCTCCTCTCTCCACTCTTCAGGGAGCTGTGTTCTTGCTGCCATCACAGATGATCACGATCAACACCCACTGCTAACAGGTCCTCATCCAGATACACCCTTCTCCACTTACCCAGTGATTCCTTAGCTCAGTCCCTGCTTCCAAATACCGCAGCCCCCATAACAGAAGGCTCTCTGCAGAAAAAACCAATATGTCTACCCTTGCTTAAAATCTAGGCGGGCATGGCATCTGGGATGTATGTTAAGAGATTTGCCAGGGCATGTGCCACTATGAAATGCTCAAAAAACAAACAAAACTATGGATTAATACTTAGGGTCCTAAATAAAAAACAAAAGGCAAAAGCAACTTTTGTCAGATGCCCACTTTGCCTTCATTTCATGTCATTTCTTATATTTTCACCTTTACTTGGGGAACCATCCAAAGCTTCTGGCTGTGTGAAGGTGAAGTGTGCCATTGATTGCGCAGCTGTGTTTCTTTTCCAGAAGAATTAAAAGTATTGCTGGTGGTGGTGAGGGTCAGAGGAGGAGGTAAGTGTCCCGAGGAAGGAGGAGCATGGGGTTGGGGAGCCCCACTGGGAGCAGGAGACCTGGGCACTAGGCGGCAGCACCTAACACTTTCTGATCTAGTTTTTACCTGTAAAAGGAGATTAAAGTGCCTGTTCTGCTCACCCTTAGGGTAGATGGGAGTAATGTAATTGGTCAAAACATTGTTTTGAAAAATTAGCAACACTGTCTTTATATAAGTGGCACAGCGTTATTATTTATGATGTGCCCCAGACCAGTGACAGACAGCATTCAAGCTATCTGGGCATGAAGGCACATTTAAAAAATTATCAAGTAGGTGCCAATAAACCTAGTAAGTAGAAAAATACTTAAAAGCACCAAGTGTGTGGTGGATAGAAAACCTGAGCTCCAGAGCAAGTTCAGAGCTGGATGGTGTAAGAGCACACGGGCCTCCCATCCATCAGAAGGGCTTGGTAGCAGCTCCTGGTGATGGATCCAGAAACTCAGGTTACAAATAAAACTTTCATGAAACAGCATCATGTGTACTCTTTTTATAAACTTGCAAAATAAAACAATAAAAAGGTATCTTGCTTTGGCCAGTTTGGCTCAGCAGTTAGAGCACCAGCCCATGGACCAAAGGTCCTGGGTTTGATTCCAAGTCAAATGCACATACCTGGGTTGCAGGTTTGGTCCCCGGCCTGGACAGGGGAAAGCAATTGATGTGCCTCTTTCACATCGTTTTCTTCTCTCTCTCTCTCTCTCTCTCTCTCTCTCTCTCTCTCCCTCCCTCCCTCTACCCCTTCTTTCCTTCCACTCTATCTAAAATCAATGGGGAAAAATATCCTCATTGAAGATTAACAACAACAAAATAATGTATCTATATCTGTCCTACACAGCAAAGGGCAATTGAAACCTAATGCACACAAAACAGTTTACAAACTGTGACACACTAATGAACAAGTTCTCATCTGGAAGTAAAGCACCAAGCAGAGAGCACACCACACACTATGTGCCCACTAGTGTTAACTCCCTTCCCCTTCCATTCCTCTCTTGTTCCTTCATCTGACTTTTAGCAAGGGAATGGTTCTTAAAATTTTAAAGAGTTTAATTCTGAATAAATGAATAAAAATAATGCAGTTACATTACTTTCTTATAAGTATATCATCATCAATTAAAAATAAAAATTAAAAAGTTTAGCATCGGGCAATTCAGACTCACCACAAGGTGTGTTTGTCAGACACTCAGTGTCACAAAGCAGTTTGACTGTCTCGGTGGCAGCCTCAATATTACTTTTGAATTGGCAGAGGCAGCAGGTCAAATGTCTAGGTAAGATCCTATAAATGGAAACACAATTCAAAGGCGTTACTTGAGTAGGTGAAGAGGTAGGCCGTGGCTACCACAGGGCTGGGCAAAACAGAGCTGCTGGGGCACATCGCCCGAACATGTGGTACCTACTTGCTACTCTTAATACTGTAAATAAATAGAGAGGAGGACAGAAGTGCCCAACAGAAGGGTAAGAATGGCAGTGGGTATGGGATGCCTGGAATAAAGGTGACAGGGATTAGAATTGGGTAACACTGATCTGTAGTCCAACTCAGAAGTATCTCCTTCTCCCAACCCAAAAGTCTCACTTTGGTTGGAGAATACATAGGAAGAGGAAGACCTCTAAGATGACTCTGGATAAGTATCCAACTTATAGAGTCTCGTTCTCAATTCCTAATTGTGAGTGGTAAATATATTAGAAATTACTCCATGTATAAAAAACATTGTGAGCCCTGGCCAGTTTGGCTCAGCGGTTAAAGCATCGGCCTGCGGTCCGGAGAAACCCGGGTTCGGTTCCCACTAAGGGCATGTACCTTGGTTGCAGTTTGTCCCCGGCCCTGGTTGGTTGTGCGGGTCACAGCCACTCCATGTGCCCCTTTCACGTCGATGTTTCTCTCTCTCTCTCTCTCTCCCTCTCCCTTCCTCCCACTCTATCTGAACAGAAAATGGAAAAATGTCCTCGGGTGAGGATAAAAAATAATAAATAAATAAACAAACAAACAAATGAGAATGGCTGTGGCTGGTGTAACTCTGTTGGAACATTGCCCTGTATACCAAAAGGTTGCAAGTTTGATTCCCTGTCAGGGCACATGCCCAGGTTGGGCCAGATCCCCAGTGGGGAGCATGCAGGAGGTGGCCAATCAATGTTCTCTCTCATCGATGTTTCTATCTCTCTCTCCCTCTCACTTCCTGTCTCTCTCAAATCAATAAAGGAAAATAAATTTTTTTTTAAAAAAGAACACAGTTTAGCAGTTTCTTAACAAGTCAAATATGTACTCAGCATATGGTGCAGCATTCCTACCCTTACGTATTTTACCTGAAAGCAATGAAAACATATGTTCACACAAAGACCTGCATGTGAGTGTTTTTAGCAGCTTTATTCTTTTTTTTTTTTTCTTTATTAATTTTTTAATTATTTTAGAGAAAGAAGAAGGGAGAAGAAAAGAGAGAGAGAAATATCGATGAGAGAGAACATCGACTGGCCACCTCCTGCATGACCCCCACTGGGGATCAGGCCCACAACCTGGGCATGTGCCCTGACCGGGAATCGAACAGGCGACCTCTTGGTGCATGGGTCAACGCTCAATCACTGAACCACATCAGCTGGGCAAGCAGCTTTATTCTTAATAGCCAGAAAACTACAAACAACTCAAATGGTCATTAACTGCTGACTGCATAAACTAACTAGTATAACCAAACAATTGGAATACCACCCAGCAACTTATAGGAACGAAGTACTGATAGATACAACAACATGGACGACCCTCAAAAGGATTATGCTAAATGAAAGAAGCCAAACACAAAAGGCTACACTCTACATGATTTTATTTATAAAACACCCTGGAAAAGGCAAGACTATAGTGACAAAAATCAGAATGGTGTTTTCCAGGGGCTGGTAGTGGGAAGAGGACTTGACAGCAAAGAAACGGGAGAGGCCCTTTTGGGATCACAAAAGTTGATAAGTACACATTTATCAAAACTCACTAAACTCTACACTTTAAAAGAGTGAATTTTATTAAATAAAAATTACACCTCAATAAACCTGACTTCAGAAAATAATAAAGGAAACCTAAAAGAACTAAGTGAAAATAAATATAAGAAAAATCCACTTACAGTTTTTCCAATTTAAGGGTCGTGATGAAGATGTTATCAACTGTTGTGAGGGACACTTGTGTTGTTCCCATGTCTCTGAAGGAGAGAGAAGGCCCAAACATACATGATATGAACCCAAAGAAAAAAATTCGTTACGTAAAAAGACACTAAATGATATCTGGATACTCCAATTCTGGTTTCTTTATCAAGCCAACTCAAGAGTTTACTTGCCAAGGATGCTAATTTCAGATAGCGATTCATGAAGAAATTTAAATTTATTTGCATCATCAAATTAATAACCATGGTGAATAGTACAGTCTGTTATTGGTAGTTGTTGTTGTTTTTGAACCATTATCCCACTTCTCATTCTCAATTACAACCACCACTTAATTACTCTTTTTAAAAAATACAGAATGTATAAATTATTCCATTTTTCTTTCTGAGATGAATGGCATTTCTTTCTACATGCATCTACATGTTTCACATCTGAATGTGTTCTTCAGCACTGCTCCCTTCCTCTGCTGGCTGTCTTGCCCTTGTGCATTCTTTCTTAATCATTTTTCTGTGCCATTAACTCTTTTTCCATAACCCAGTTAAATTTTAAGTTATGATGTTTTAGTCAAAATGCACAATACTTAATCTTTGATGAAAATAAGAAAGTGCATAAACCATCTCACGAGCCATGAGATTGTTGCAATACTTACAAATATTTTAATGCCCGCAATTTTAAAAGATATGGATCTTGAACAGTTGTCAGAGGATTATGACTGAGAATTCTGAAAAAAAAAAAAAATGCAATGGAATTAAAATTATCTGAAAGGTTATATTCATTTCGTTGGTACAAAACTTGAAGGTTAAGAAAACTAATGTTCTGCCTTTACCTATAGATCACCCTTAGAATCTGTAAAGTGCTCCTTTTGGGGGGAACTACCCAGGTCTCTAAAAGATAAAGTAGAGAAGGGAAAGTAAAAAGAAAAGAAAAAAAGTTGATAGCAAAGAAAAAAATATGCTTGAAGACCTTTTCAGATTGAAAACCCTAGAAGTGACTATGCTGATAGGAAGCCCTTGCTCTACAGGAAATATTATTTCTAGTGTCCTCCATAATTCAAGGAGCTTTTCTTTCATCTCCAGAAATTTAAAAAATTCCACAGTTTAAACCGCCCAGTTGAAGAGAAAAAATAGGTCTAATTCCTTGGTTTTGGAGCCAAAGAAGGGATAAATCTAAGAGGACCTGATGGGAGCCATACTCCCATCACATACTCCCACATGCATCTTGTATCACAGGCTTTGTTTCATTGTATGTAATCATCTGTTTACTTGTCAATTTCTTGGACTGTTAGTGCCTGACATTTACTAGATATTTAACAGATATTTGTTTAATACATAAATAACATTCTGATTACATATCAATAAAATGAATAAATACTTCTTTTTGTTTGTTTCGTTAATCCTCACCTGAGGATATTTTTCCATTGATTTTTTTAAAGAGAGTGGAAAGGACAGAGGGAGGGAGAGGGAGAGAAAGATCAATTGGAGAGAGACACATCAATTGGTTGCCTCCTGCAGGACAGGGACCGTTGCCAGGGATAGACTCTTCAACCCAGGTGCATGTCTATGACAGAGAATTGAACCTGAGATCTTTTGGTCTGCGGGCTGAGGCTTCAACTACTGAGCCAAACTGGCCAGGGCAAACAAATTCATTTTTTGACATAAATTTTTATTCCAAATGCCGAAATAAATTTTCTCCTTGATTCTTTGAAACAAGTAAAACAACACACACAAACAGAAAGAAAGAAAAGAAAATCTGTCTTTAGGTTATCTCTACTCAAGAATCATTAGTGTACTTTTGCAGAATACTATAAAGATGATTATTACACCTAGTAGTATCTATTAGGCTGCCGGGCATCTGTGATGAACATTTCACATTTAATCCTCACAATAACCTTATTTATTATTATTTTTGTTTTTAATCCTAACCTGAGGATATTTTTTTCCATTGATATTTAGAAAGCCTGGAAGGGTAGGAGAGAGGAAGGCAGAGAGAGAGAGAGAGAGAGAGAGAGAGAGAGAGAGAGAGAGAGATGAGAGAGAGAAATGGATTGGTTCTCTCACACATGTGCCCCAGTTGTGGCAGGGTATCAAACCTGCAACCTGGGTATGTTCCCTTGACCGGAAATCGAACCTGAGATCCTGCGGTGTGCAGACTGATGATCTAACCACACAGCCAAACCAGTCAGGGCGCACACCACACCTTAACATAAACAACATAGTCTCCCATACCTTGAAGGTTCCCATTACCACAGATAATTCACTTCAGAGGCACATACTTTCTGAAAATAATATTCTAGGTGATTGAGGAGAGCAGTGCCCTGTGGCAGGTTTTAGGAATTCTTTATGCTTTACCGTTTAAAAAAAAAACTCATGCCTGAGGAAGCACCCACACCTTGTGCTCCCTGGAGAACTCGGAGCTCAACTTAATTCTTTCATTCAGTGGTGCACACATTTAAGCAGCTGGGAACTTTGCCCATGAGCCGGAATCACAGCTAAATTCAGAAGTGGAATTTCAAGGGCCATTCATGCATCGGAGCAGCAGCGCCACTGGGGTTCCCATGACAACGCTACTTTGTTGTGGGCCTGGCGCATCTACTGCCCCTGCCACAGATCAGTACTGGAGAAAGGAGAGCATGGCATCTATGAGTTAGACCAACTCTCTTGGTCTCTTTGTCCCTTATTTTCCTTATTTGAAAAAAAAAGAAAGCCCTTAAGCCATAGTTTTCAGAGTTCAAACTGGGCTTACACCCAAACAATCTCTGTATGATATTTTTACCCATAGCTTTGTACATGTGTTAATCTTCTATTTAACTTACAATTTTTGTAAAAACTTCATTCCATGCCAGGCCTGAAATGTTCCAAAGCTCACATTTGTGATTAAGTTGCAACCAAGATTTCTAAAAAAAAAAAGCACAAGCAAAAGAAGAGAAAAAAAGTATATTCACAGATCATGTATCCATTAGCTGTGATTCTAATTTATATATGATAAAACAACCTCAATACTCCATTTATCCACTAAATCAATCTCACTGTGGGAGATGTTTGCTTATGAGTCATGCTTCCATGTTCACACATGTGGCATTAGATACAAAAGCAAGTGTTCAAAAATACCTATACTAAGTGATCTGCATTTCTGTAGAACAGGGATACACAACTCCGACACTACTGGAGTGCTGGGCTAGATAGCTCTGTTCCTGGGGCTGTCCTGTGCCTTGCAGGATATTGAACAACAACTCCGGCCTCTGCCCACTGGGTGCCAGTAGCACATCTACAGTTCTGACAACCAAAAATGTCTCGCCTCTTGCCAAGTTCAGCTGGGCGCAGCATCACCCTGGTGAGAACACTGCTGTGGCATGCTTCCTTCCGGTCTCAGACAATTCTCACACGAGTCTGCTAGAGACAACAAGGATTTGCTGCAGAATCTAGTAGCTTTCTACCAAGAAAATTTTAATCTTACTTCAAAATAAATAACAAATAGATTTACAATTAAGTTTTTTTGGGGGGGGCGGGGGGTATGTGCTCCTAGCGCTAAACGAACCCAGGACTCTCTGGTCCGCAGGCCAATGCTCCAACCGCTGAACCAAACCAGTCAAGGCTTACAATTAAGTTTTACAACATTTCTAAACGTAATGAAATTATATTTATAACTTACAAATATTGCAAACGCGGTAGTGTTTCAAAGGCACTCCTTTCAATCAATTTGATTTTATTACAAGATACATCTCTAAAAAAAGGAAAAGAAAAATAGTGCCTCAATTAGCTATTAGATATCTAATTATTAGGAACAACTCATAAATGTTAGAATAACACTGCATACACAGATTTAGCCTAAACTCTAAACCTTAGGAATTGTGATTTGAACCTTCCCGAGCCCCTAACCCTGTCTTCACCTCCCTTAAGAGCCTCACCTTCATGATTTTCATAAAATATACAACTATAGACTTTAACAGGTTTTGAAGTTAATCTTTCCTGAAAGCTGATCTTTTGAGCTCAGAGTTTATATCTTCATATATAGTTATAAATTTCTAATTTCTAGCCCTCTCTTGTCTATAGCTGACTGTCTTATTTCCATTGATTCCTCTTCAGTCCCTCAATATTCAACTCAGTGGGTCGAACTGTCTTCTGACAGATGTTTCCCTCTCTAGTCTCCCCCTTTCTAATCCATCCTGCACACAGTCACCGGATTAACAGTCCAGAAGTGGTTCTCAAATACCAGCCAGCATCACACGGGAACTTATTGAAGATGCAAATTCTCAGCCCTACTCTGGACCCACTGAGTTAGTACCTGTGGGGATGCAGCCTGAGTTTCAACAGCCCTCCACGTGATTCTGTCTTAGACTGAAGCTTGTCCTGGGGCACTGGTGTGGTAACACGGCAGCTTGGCACTCAAAGCCCTAGAAGAGCTGGCTCTAATCTTCTCTGTCCCTGCCATACTCTACAGGTACTCAAAGTATTTTTCCTGTGTTTTGACTTTCCCCACACTCCTTTTACAAGCTTATTCTATCTAAGATGTCTGTCTGATGACCCCCTAGGGCCCTTCAAGGTCCTGTTCAAACAGCATTGCTCTGGTAACACCTTTGTGATCCAAGTGAAGTCTCTTTTCCCTCTGCTGTGACCAAACCCAATTCACATCTCTCACTGTCCACATCCATGTCTTCTTTTCCATACAGTTATGTTTGCATCCTGTTTCCTCTGAGCATAAACTCCTTGAAAGTATGGACTGGGTCCTGCTCATCTGCATTGTCTATGTGAACAGGTGCAAACTCAAATATTTATAAAAAAGACAAATAGCTGGGAAGTAGAGGGAGAGAAATGAATTTTTTTTTAAAAAATGTCATTTTATTATTTCATGGCGTCCTCTTGTGTGCCTCTGCAGCACATTACCTTCCATTTAGTACTTGTACACTATGGCTTGAGCTTATATGTTTATTTTCTCTGTGAAATCATGAGTTACTAGAAGGGTAGGAACCCTGTCTTACCCAACTTTGAGCCCACAGTACTAGGTACAGGGTTTGGCATGTTCTTTATTAGCTTGTTTATTGATAGGCATCTTTTTTTAATGAATGGGATACTTATGCTAGCATGAAATAATTAGCTTACAAAGTATTTCACAGTAGAAGTCATGAATGACCTAATCTATTGAGCAGTTAGTTACCTCATTTGTTTTCCTGCAAACTGTTGGTAAGGTTTGGAACCCAGACGGCAGAGATACCCAAGAAGATGAATACAAAATTGTCCCTCTGAGGCTTGAAAGTGTTGATAATCCAAAGGACTATTTTTAGTATCACATGAGGCTCTTTCATACACACTTCCATTAAGCCTTCTACAGTTGCAAAAAGAATCTATTTGCTAAAGAGCATCATTAATTAGCTTAATAAGGAATAATGACAAATACAACCCTGGATATGATGGACAAAAGATCATAATTGAGTTTTCATAGTAAAGATCATCTCCTTATCTCTAAATAAATACAATTACTAGGCAAGCATTTCTTCCTTGACAGATCGGCTGGAGAGATTTCTATTATGCAATTGTGAAGTTAGGGACATTTTTGTATGCTTGCTTAGTGTAGACATTTGTAACTCTACCATTTAACCATCATTTTAAACATAGATTTTTAGTATTGGAATAACAATTCCTGCATTGAAATCCTTAACACCAGTCTTCTCTCTCAGTAACTTAATATGTTCTTCATAATATTGCTTACATAAAATTTATCTGCTTAAACGCTGAATATATCTAATTTAGATTAAATTATCAAAAAATTCTGGGATAATGGCATTCCAATTAATGTTAAGTGTTCTATATTTTCTTTCCTGTAGGAGACAATTTGAGTTCACCTGAATTCCTCTCATTTTACTAAATCAACATTTTTTTTTTTTATCCTCACCCGAGGACATTTTTCCATTTTTTGTACAAATAGAGTAGGAGGGAGAGAGAGGAAGGGAGAGAGCGAGAGAAACATCGACGTGAAGGGACACATCGAGTGGCTGCCACCCGCACGACCAACCAGGGCCGGGGACAAACTGCAACCGAAGTACGTGCCCTTAGCGGGAACCGAACCCGAGTCTCTCCAGACCGCAGGCCGCTGCTCTAACCGCTGAGCCAAATTGGCCAGGGCTAAATCAACATTTTAAAACCTTTTCTGTAAAGGACAGACAGTAAATATTGTAGGCTTCTAAGTCCACAGACAGTTTGTCTTGCATATTATGTGATTGTTTTTTCTTTTACAACCCTTTAAAAGTGTAAAAATCATTCTTAACTTATGTGCTGTAAAAAATCAACACACAAACATAGGTTCGATTAGAGCCATGGGCCCTGTAGTAAATATAAATATAAGCAGATGGTACATGAACATTTATATGACAAGTCATATAGGTGTATATAATTTCTCAGAGCTCATTACCACCTCTTCTCTATAACTAAAGAGTTTTTCCTACCTATATCTAGTCTATACAATTATAAAACTGAAAACACAAAGGAGATATTAAATACTAGAGATGGGTGGGGCCCCTACACACTAACAGAACTGTGGAATTTCATTGCTGGGAGAAATTGTAGACATTATCTAATTTGAACACCTTTTTTATTTCATAGATAATATAACTAAAAACCTCATAAATAAATATAATTAACTTACAAAATCTGGAGGGATGGCAGGCCTCTAAATGTATACGTATGTAATTCTTGTATACTATTTCCACTGAGATTTCTGAAAAATGAAAAAAGTTATTTCTGGATCAAAATGCAAAATAACTACAAGTATTTTTTGCACAGAAATATACATGCAAAAACCTGAGTAATGGTGACATCAAAATAGTCTAATTTTTATTTAATTTAAGGATGGTAATATCTGCTCTTTCTTTTTTTAACTGTCTTCTCACATCCTCTTTGTGTCCGTCTCCATCACACACACACACACACACACACACACAGTCAAGAAGAGTGGACATGAGTGTGTGTGTGTGTGTGTGTGATGGAGACGGACACAAAGAGGACGTGAGAATGTCCACTCTTCTCATCAAATCATATAGTTAATGTCTACTCTCTAGATCACAAAGTGTCCATTAGAACCCAGCTCTGGGTGGTACCCACATTGGCAGACCTGCCATTTCCTCCTCTCTCTTCCCAAAACTTGTTATGGAAGCCCCATACAGAACTGGATCAGGGCTGCAAGTGAAGTCACTTGACTATTTCTCCCATTAAAAAATTCTTCTGAGAACTAAAATGTGCATAGAACACACACAAGATAAACACAGGTGCCCGTCTAACACCACTCATGTCCAGAAAGAACACTGCCAGCGTCCCAGAGGCCCACAGGTGGCCCCTCCAATCACAGCCCTTTCTCTGCCTCCCGTTCAAGGGCGTTAGCAACAACCTGGGTAACTGATGCTACTTTTTCAACTGTAAATTCATAAAATCTAAATATAGATCAAGTCTCTCTGATAAAAAATTTAGCAATCAAATTGAGATTTCAAAGACAGTATGGAAAACAGAATGTAAACTCTCTCATTAACAATTTTTCTATTGATTTCATGTACAAATGACAACACTTGGATATTTTGAAGATAACCTGTGAAAAAAACGTAGAATATGTTATTAATAATCTATATAATTATTATATGTTGAAATGATAATACTTTGGATATAAAAGTTAAATAAAATTTATTAACATTTATTTCACTGCTTCTTTTTACTTTTAAGTGGCTACCAGATAATTTCAGATTACTCATGTGGCTTGCATTGTGTATCTAGTGAATAGTATTCCATTGTATGGCTACACCACACATCATTTATTCATTCTACCACTGGTGGGTACTAAGATTGTTCTAGGTCTTAGTTGTAACAATGCTGCTTTGAATGTTCTTGTACCCGTGTCCTGATACACATTTTATTGAGTTTCTCTAGGATATAATAGGGGGACAAAATTGTTTTCCTAAAATGTTATGCTATTTTAAGTTGGCAGATTGAAACACGCCAAGTCTCTGCCCCTCCAACCTCCACCCAAATCCCTAAGAATAATGGAAAAGAGACCATTTAAAAATCACAAACTTTGCTCAAAGCACGGGAGCAGCTCCCAAGTGCTGCGCTACCAGAAGCCCCTGGAGCGCCCTGCAGGGGAGTAGTCGGGACGCTGCAGCAGGAGCAGCTGGCAGCACTTCGCCCACCTCTGCCCTCCTCGGACCAGGCAGCAGAGGGTGTGTCCCTCCAGGGGCAGCAACCAGTACTGGAAAGCGGCGGGGTCCCAGAACCCTAGAGAAAGGGTAGGCACCCCCTGACTAGCCCCCAGAAGGCACCTCCACCTCTTCCCGATTCCCAGGGGAATCCACGGGACTAAGAAGCCCCAGCAGTTCATTTCACCTCTGCCCTGGAGCCGGACACAGAAGCAGTAGGGTCTCAATTGCAAAGATGATTGCGCTCAGGAATGACCCAACAACTTGAGAAAGCCAACAAACATAGCTTATGGCCAATGAATCAGAGTTAACAGAGAAAGCCAACTCCATTGAGGACAGAAAACAAAAACAAACATTAGAGTTTATGGCCAATGAACCAGAATTAACAGAGAAAGCACCAGAGGACTTCAGAATAGCACAATGAACATCCTCAGACACATGTAAACAGTACATCCATGAAAAGAATCAACTCAAGATTATACAAATGAAATGTTATCATTCAAAAAAAAAAAAAAACAATCAACCTCAGTGTATGAGCAGAAATGACAGTTGAATAAATTAGAAACCTGAGAGACCCAGCCAGTGAGTTCTCGGTAATGAAGGAGGGAGGAACAGGAATGAGCCACAGACAAGCCGGACACCAGGGCTGCCCGAGGAACGTGAAGGCCTTTGCTTCACCTGGTCTCGCGGTAACCCCTGGGAACGCGCTCGCGTAGGCGTGGGGGGTGGGGCAGTTTGCACTCCTGTCTTATACCTGATGAGCAGAAAGGCACATACCAGAGCTCCAAGAGTGGAGTGAGGGCGGGTAGAGAGCCAGTACAGGAGACACTGTAAAACTCAACGGTAAGTGTCTCTTGCTGGGAGAATCCCCACCCTTGCAGTGACATTAAGCTGTACACCCTGAGGAGCGTGGGGATTAGAGACGGTGCTGTGTTGCCTGTGAAACTACTTCCCCCCAGTTGGGCATCTGAAACATTCTGCCGTACCTCACAGTGTCTGTTGGTCACATATTTATATTAACTCCATCTCTTAGCATCACTCTACCTCAAAGCTTAATTCTTTCCTTTTAGCTTAATATTACTCATGGCAAATATTACTGCCCAGAAACTGTACAACTGAAATCAAGACCATTTTCAGTTATAAGGTAGTTCATCTGACACAGAATGTAGTTATATTTTTAAAAGACCATTAAAATAAGAACACAAAAACTTTAATTCCCACAAATAACTCTTGCAGTCCTGAGAATGGATCAAAGACCCTGACTTCACTTTGAAATTCACCACATTAGAAGGAATAGCAGTGATGGTCAGAATCCCATGAAGGGGGAATGGTCAGAGGTGATGTTATAATTGTTTTCTCACCTCCCTTAGGTAATGGTTTCATATTTCCATGAAAATGATCCAAAAAGAAAAACACAAATCATTAAGTCTAAGATTGTTTACAGTAACCCTTTTCATAAGAATAAAAAGCTGGGAAAAACTGTACCTCCCCATATCACTTAACAAAACCATATGTGTATAATATCGATGATATAATAAATGGTCATAGGAAATACTGGTATACCAAAAAAAAAAAAGACAGAAATCAAAGTTGCATATACTAATTATAACTTTAAAAAATATAACTTCACAAGGATTCAATAAGGACAGAGAAGAAATGAGGGCTAATCCTCAGCTCTTTGTAACAGCTTCTAAATGGCTGGCGCTCATGTCAGACTGGTGAAAGAGTATGAAGATCATGGTAAGAGAGCGAGTAACTAAAGGGTATGTATGTAGTTTATGTTAATGGGGTGTCTTTTTGTGGTGGTGTTTAGATAACAGGATAGTAAAAAAATTAAATAACAATAATAAATTAAACCTGGAAGTAAATTTTAGCCTGAGAATGAGTCAGTCACCAAAAAATTACCCCCCTTAAAAAGGACCTTGAAATAAGAAATGAACGGTTGTCAAATACACTAATCTGTAGAACTTCAAATAATTCATTTTAACTAAAGAAAAACACTTAAAACTGTAGGGAATCAGAGTTAAAGCCAGATCTAAAATTTTCTCACATCATGAAAATATTAAAACCAGGCATGAACTAACATTTAAGAAATATGCCCTGGCTGGTTTGACTCAGCAGTTAGATTGTTGGCCAGTGGACAGAAGGGTCTTGATTTCATTCCCAGTCAAGAGCATGTACCTCAGTTGCAGGTTTGATCCCCAGTCCTGGCCCTGGTCGGGGTCATGCAGGAGGCAACCAATCGATGTGTCTCTCTCACATCAATGTTTCTCTCTTTCTCCTCCCTCCCTTCCACTTTATCTAAGAATCAATGGGAAAATTTTTGTTTTAATTTTGAAAGCTGTATTTCAGTGATAGGTTTTCTTTATTTTCCTAAGTATTTTAAGTTATAAATCATTCTAAAATGTAGTCCTCAAGGATTTAGGATTTTGCAGATCACCAAAGAGATATATGGAGGGAAAAAAAGGTCAAGAAATCCTGCCCCAGGCGTCCATTGGCCCTAAGTTAGGAACCTCTCCCTTACAAACTATAAATCTCAAGCTGACTTAGAAATCTTCAAACCTTAAGAGATTCATGTTATTGTGTATAAACTCCCAAACACAAGTTTTTCCAAAATTAATGTTTAAAGTTCAATTTATTTTAAAAATATGTAATATAGATTTTTATGGCTCAAATTTCCAAAGGGGTGTGTGTGTGTATATATTACAAAATCCAAAGTTTTTCTCCTATACCATCATTCAGACTACCCCACTGCCTCTACTCCTTAAAAGAACTAATATTGTTTATTTCTTGTGCCAAGTGACTTTAATTTTTCTTACCAGATACCATCAGGGAAAATATAAACTATATATAGTTTCCCAAAAAAATCATAAATTAAAAAAAAAAAACTGACTGGTTCTAGCATTTTTTTCCATACCAAAATGGTATCAGACTGTACTAAGGGAGGAATCTTGTAGGGTGCTCATAAACCCTATTTTTAGATTACTATGACTATTATGTCTTTTATTATTAATTCATAAGTCATTCATGACATATATTCAAGTTGAACTAATAATACACAAACTTCCTTGAAAAAAGCCAGTTAATTACTTGGACTGCAAATACTTTTCCTCAAATTATTTACGTGTCCAAACTATCTTTTCTACAAAACAATAAATAAATATAAACAAAAGAAAAATGGGCAAAAAAAAAAAAAAAGAGAGAGAAGGCAAATTCAGACAAGAAATACAAATGTTCATTAAATATATAAAGATATTTAAATTCACAAGTAATCAGAACAATTCAAATTCAGACGGGACCCCTTTTATTCGCCCTCCGGGTCAGCCCCCAGATGGAGCCTGCCCAGTGGTGGAGGGCAGAGGGAAATGAAAGCTGCCAGGGCCCATCGACGGGAGTGTACGTTGGCACAGCTTCTCTGAGGGCAATTAAATGTTACATCCATACAGTCTTCACCCCAACAATTCCATTTCTAAATATCTACTCTGCAGAAATACCCGCCCATGTTCCCAAAGATGCATGTACGAGAATGTTTGTTGCAACCATACA